GGGGGGGGGAGGTGGTTAATAATTTGCAAACAGATCCCTAAAGTGAAAAATAGTCTTAGAAACCCTAAGCCATTTTAAAAGACCTATTCAACGATACTCCACACGCACCGGTTATCGTTACCGTAGGTACTTACCGTTAAAGTTAGGTGGTGCAACTCAGCCTTAGTATTTACAAATGCAGTCGGAGGCATTAATGACTAGTTTTTTGTTGGTTATTAAGTATTTGAACTATAAAACTATTTTTAATACGAGTAATAGGTATATCACAAAATCTTTTTCAACTGAAGTCTTCTGCCTACGTAAAACCATCTCTGTGCTAAAATTCGCCTAATAACAAACATTAATTAATTTTCGAGGATTCGTTTTAGTCAATGAGTGGAAAGGGTGACCTTTTTAGATAAAAGAAAAAATAGCAATAAGTATTTTCTGAAATTAAATTAATACTGTTAATAAATTAAAATAGAGTAATATATCTGGACCTTTTATTTTAATTTCCATTGGTTTTTTGTCCTCTGTGATATCGCCGGGAATAATCAAAGAGAGTACCGCGAGATAACGCCGAAGTTAATCTGCCCGTTGTTAAATCAGTCCTATTAATTGAGAAAATTAATATTTTTTTCACGTTGTCATAATATGGACGTTACTATTTTATTTATTTATTTTTATTTTATTTTGCTTTATTAGCGAAACAAACAGTGGTATTTAACTTTCTTTACACCATTTATATGTTTGCGCATACAATAGCTGAGAATTTTATTATGAATACTTAGACTTTTTTTACTTTACTACCAAAAATATTGGGATATAGGTAATAAAGCTAAATTCAAAGACAGCTAAATTCTGACCCCTCTATCAAAAATATTGATAGTCTTGGATTTTACATGCGGACTTTAGTTTGTGCGGATTCTCCTTTTATGACTAAGATAATAAGTACCTACTTATTGTGCCAATGTTCAGCAGTCATGGACGTCCTATTTTTATTTTATTTTTATTTATTTATTTATAATCTGCTTGAAGGCTTACAGATAGTCCAACGCGCCAACAAGTTATACAATACAGATAATTTATAATATCAATTTTAATATGGCTGAAATGATGATGATGATGACCTACTTATTGGGGAATTAGTCGGGTAACTTGATTCTTTCTGTGTTATTGATAGTGCCAATTTCGTTAGGAATAGAGGATACTAAATAAAAGGGTTATCCAAAAAAGCTGTTCCACAATATTCTCATTCCAAATATCTGCGTCACATTTTTATGAAAACACTCGGACAAATGTAATTGATTGAGATTACACCTGGTATAAAAGGGAGGCGAGGTGGTTAAATCATTCACAAAAACCGAACAACCCGGTTCGGGCTCATTCAATTTAGAAGAACAATTATTTGAAATAGTTTTATATTCACCATGGTGTCTGTATACTGCGTGGTAAAGGTAAGTAAAGTGCATTTTATATTAGCTATTGTCACATTTCATACGCAATGTCAGGTATTTTGGGTATGATTAGTAAAAGAAGTGCTCGTCATTAAAATACGTGATTAAAAAATTCAACACATATTTATTATAACAACTAGATACATAAAGTTAGTGAGTGAATAGTTGAAAAAAATGAAAAATGCTTTCCTTTCCATGAGTTGTTTAACATTAAAGTTTCCTGTTAAAGTTTTAGTCATGATTATTTTATTATCATGAGTCATAATCTAATACTACTGACTCGCGAGGAAAATTTTAATAGGATGTATTAAATAAAATTTGGATTTGTTTTGATATTTAAGAATAATAGTAGGTACCTAACTACGACTCTTCCATGTGTTGTAAAGGTTGGGTACAAAAACCTTCCGAATAATATTCACACACAATTTTTTATTAATTTTACTTTATTTGGTGTTCCTATTTGTCAGGGACACATCAGCACAATAGGTAATGCTGATGCTGGCCGATTTGACACTAAGGCTGGTTTGCACCATCTTACTTTGACTTTGACTAATGTAAAAAATATGTCAAACTCCATACAAAAAACACCGGTTATAGTTATAGACGGTTAAAGTTAGGTGGTGCTACTCAGCCTAAGTTTAAGTAATGCAGACCAACCCATGTGGGTGCATCATCCCATCATCCGTAATGTAATCGAACACACATAGGTACACTGTACCTACAGTTATTGTATAAGTTTAGCCATTGCTAATCAAAAATCTACATAACTTTAACATACAAAAAAAATACGAAATTCAAAGAATAAAGACAGCCTGCTGAACTTGTCGCCTACTTATTGTTTGCGGGTCACTGTCAAGTCATACTCGTGGTGTTCGTGCTAAGTTTTTGTCAATCTGACCTTCTTGTAGACCCCTTATTAATAATAATGTGAGCTGTGACCTGAGTAAAACTACAGAATAAAACTAGTACCTTACGCAGTAGAACCAATGTTTTAAAGATATTGAAAACCTTACTAACATGATGTAACTAATATGTTTGTTGATAAATTGTGGTATTTTTTTATACATTTGTATATGTATTTTCGATGCCAATGCAGTAGCGACGAACGCTGTTACGATTTTGTTCAACTGCCTCATAGTTTCGAAAGCTTATGGACTCGAATGATCTACTTACTTAGTCATGAAAGACGCTATATGTACTTACTTACTGAAAAACATTTTCATTTTCACAAATAGGTAAATCAAAGTCACCAGCATTCGAAGGCAGTGTAAAATGAACTTTTTCTTCCTGATGGATGTGCAACTGCACATCAGGCATTTTATACAAGTAACAAAGAACTCTGTACCTCACTATTTTCTTAAATACCATTCTTAAACTTCTGAGCTCTTACCTGCTTCCAACATAGTTGACAGTGAAGATCCCCTTCTCTGGAACGGGTTCCATCTTGAAGGTCCCACGATGTTTCCTTCTTATCTCCATTTTGTTTAATCTGTTAAAATGAATTTCCGACTGAGTTGACATAGTATTTATTCATTTTCACTGTATTTCAAATCGCACTAACTCACTACTCACTCACTAACTACACAAACTGTTACAATTTTCATGTTTTTTGGATTAAATAAATTTAATTTACATTAATCAATGTTGTAAAGATTGACGTTTGCGTTTATACATAATATATTTCTAAAATTACCTTCTGAGACATTTGAAAGCAATCTAATGTGGGTAATTTTCGAGATCCTACCCACAAAACTATTTAAAACATTTAGCTATGTAAAAACCTAGTGCCCAGATCAAGCACCGGCCGGCAACACCACGCACCATGGTTATCGATGCTGTATTATCAAAGAAATGCTATGAAATGCGCCATAAACGATTTCGCTCCGCTATTGGTTCCTTACCTACTTACTTACTTAATGTTTTACTCTTTTCATTATTAGCTATTGTTCTAACATTATGTAAAGAGATTTCTTCGACCTAGTAACATTGTTATGTATGATTAAAAACACTTTGATTAGCTCAGTTAGTGTAGGTATAAATACTAGACTATAGTCTCATCAGTCAATTTGGTGAAAAGCTAGGCCAGCCACTTTATGTTTTTTTTTAAATAACAAATAAATGGAATAACTACTCACATAATACGAGTATAGAAGCTATACAGGATTTCATATTGATTAAGGGTGGATTCGACCAAACATGAGTAGGTAAATATTAATCTAAATATAATACCTATATAACTCAAAGGTGACTGACTGACTGACTGACTGACATAGTGATGCCCACCATAATTATGTATTTTTTTGTACTTTCGGCCAAATCGGAGTTTATTTATTAATTGTTCCAAGCTTAGCACAAGGCACAACTTTTCTGAACGTGTGCCATGAAGCTTATTTTAGTATCAAGTGACGTACAGGCTATCTTACGGTCCCCTCTCGTACTATTAGTAGGATAACCAAGTGATCCCCTATCTTATGGGAAACCGACCGCGATTGAACGTTGACCAAACTGCAAATTGGATGCTAAATATAGCCGACAATAGTTATTTACAGGAAGCCGGTAGCGGGGTCTCTGCGACCCGCTTCGGACCGGACACGGCACTTGCTGGAAGTGATTTATGCTTACTTTACCACATGATAAAGAGGCCGCCATTTTCCATATTGGGTTAGTAGTAGTTTCGCACGATTTTCCTTCGCACCCGTTTTTAATACTTTTATTTATTTATTTAAAATCTTTATTGCACACATAAAAATATAGTGGTACAACTTTTGATAAATCAGGGCAGGTAGGCGACCTACAAAAAAAAATTATTGAAAGGGGACGTTTCGCACATTATTCGTGCGAAGGAAAATGGTGCGAAACTACTAGGTAACCCTCCATATTGTATAGTAATAAACTGCACGGTACCTACACGTGCAATGCAACACCAGGCCTGGCTCACTCCGCGCGGTACATCCGATAATTACCTACAGCGGAGCGCCCCGCCGGCGGGTATTATATCAGTCGAGTGTCACGCGCACGCCCGTCGGGACTTGATGTTTTGCCTTTAATAAATAATTTCTTTTGAATACAATTTATGATGTTTTAAGAATTTTATCGTTAAAATATTAACTATTACCTTTCCGTGTAGGTAAATGAAACGGAAGAGTAACATCGATACACCAAATTACGACAAGCTAGTTCTTTTACCATAATGCATAGGTACCCCAACAATATTCAGTAAAAAATAAATTGTTGCCAAAGTACAGCGAGTAACATTAGATTAAGTTTGTGCAAAGCCAAATACAAATATGATTTTCGGGTGATGCCTCTCGTTCTATGATGTAGCCGTTTCGTGTGCGTAGTAAGTAGGTAGGTATGATGTCATTCTTTCTTCTGTGATAGTAGGTATGTTTAATTTATTTGTCTTATGTTAAAATAGGTATGAATGAAGACATTGTATTAAAATAAGTACTTTTTTATCCTAAGTAGGTATATTTAAAATGTTATTTTTACAAAGGTAAAATAACACTAATACTTACCTACATACGTACCTCATTACAAATACCTAAGTAGATTAATTCTATTTTTTCACTAGACAGCATAGCAACCCTAGCAGCGTAAGAAGAGTTCAGAGGCACGCGATAGAAAGAGACAAAACTTGTAGGTGAATAAAATTGTAGGTACGTAGTGCTGTGCGAGCTGAATTCCACTGTATCGCGTCGTAGCAAGACTCGCATTTATTTAAATCGTCTTGCGGAGTAATCCTTCTGTACCTGTACTATTACTTATTCTGTGGCAACACAGAAAGGTTATTTGAAATAAAATTAAAAATATTCATTTCAATCGCAACAAAGTTAAAATCAGCTCGTAAAGTAGGTAGCTTAAAGATACATATAATAATAGGTACTCGTACTGGGTTACCTACACCATATCGAATTACAAATGATCGCAAATCAAAATATCGAACACGTTTCATCAAACGATCAGATTATCGAACGATCAAAATATCGAATGCTCAAAATATCGAACGTTCAGAATATCGAATTTACAAATTTAATGATCGAAGGATCAAAATATCGAATGATTAAAATATCGAAAGTCGATCTTACGTTGCATAGTAGGTAAGTATAATAGAAAGATGGAGGTAAGGGTTCCTTGTTGACTATGGTACCTACCCAAAAGTGGGAAATTAAAAAAATGTGTTTAAGAATTTATGTTTTATTTATATTAATGGTATGACATTTACTTAATTAAAACCTGTAAATTGATTTTTCGATATTTTAATCATTCGATATTTTGATCGTTCGATGAAACGTGTTCTATATGTTGATTTTCGATCATTTGTAATTCGATATGGTGTAGGTAACCCACTCGTAGGTACCTACTCGTACATCACTTTTACGTTTTAATTTTTAACATTAACCCTTCCACTGCCTCGGGACAAAAATATGGACCAGAGGTCTGAGAAACCTTTCCCACGAGCAATTCAGTTTTGCGGGATCCACAGTACTAATGCAGGAAAACTGTACCTACTGTCTCCAAATTCGAACGAATCGGTTTTTTCCGGACACATGAAACGGAATGTTCGTGTGATTGATTATTACGTGTATTAAATCACGTTCACACTACACGGGATCCTTCAAAAACAGTAGGCAAAAAATGGATGTCTGCGTCAGTAAGAAAGAGCCCTGAGATTAATTAAGTAGCATCAAAAAAGGACTCCAATACTCACTAAGTCGTAAACGATAGGTGCATAATAATGTGTGATTACAAGATAATTCTCGAAAATACAATACCTACGCATTACATTACAATACAAGCATAAACTGCCGCCGAATCTAGTTTTTGTTACAAATAGGTACTTATCTACTATGATGAGCGAACAAATAACTGCAATTACTTACGTAGGTAGAAAGACGGCTGCATTGCTGATTAGTCACAATTAGCGAGTAAGTATGTACCTACCTAATACTGTGGCAGGATTAGGTAGGTACGGTATTACACATCCAATCCACATAACACACAATCACTTATCTGTTTTATCATAGTAAAATACTATACTTAGTTGATAATTATTTTTAAATGTTTGGATAGATTACAATTCTTATTATAAAAAGTTAGGAACTGGAGGTGGTTTACCTGCCGAAGTAAAAGTGTAGATTAAAAATAAAAAGTTAACAGCCTCAGCAACTAAGTAAGTATTTTGTTTATCAAATATCGACATCCTAATTCTTAGTGAAAGTTCAATCATGCAATCTAAATTGAATTAACACTGTTCTTACCTATCAAAATGCAACCTAATAACACTGATCAAGATTAACTTAAGGCCTAATTCTAAATCGTCACGATATCCCACCACTTTTACTAAACACGAGACAATGCCATCGCGTTCCTGTGATACGTATGAGTAAATCGGCTGCAGTTGTAGTCCCGACCCACGCCACGGGCGAAGTTATCAGGGATTGCCAATCACAGTTCGTTACCATCAATTGAGTTTTGCATCTTTTGTTCCGCATGTGTCAAAGTAAAGGACGCCCTCTTTCAATAACAATAAACTCCTTTGGAAGATTTGATTCCAATTGAATTATTAAAATGAATGCTGGGGCCAAATACGGTCGAAGACAATTGACTTGAAGTAGGTAGACTTTAATCAAATTCAATAACTTTATTCCACTAAAGTACTTATCTGCGTAAAAACTTTATTTTTAAATTAATTATTTAGGTATTTACTCAACTGAAATCAAAGTTATGAAATTATCAGTACCTACTGAAATTAACATTTTTTAAAATTTTGATGATGATGACATGCGGCAAGTTGGATTTTTACTGAAATCCTGAAAGAGGAAAAAGGAAAACAAAATGTTCGTAATCCCTGATCTGTAGCAGAGGCTGAGTTCTGAATGAATGACAATCAGAGCGTTTGGTCACTCGGGGCTCGCGGGCAATCAACGCTGACTACGAGTCGAGCACGCCGTTGTTACTACAGACACCCTAAAGACTGTTTTGTATAAACAATAACGACTAGTTTTACCATTTGCTGATACTCCATGATAGAATAAGTACTGTAGATAGAAAACACCCATACCAATACAAGCAAAAATGTTCATGCACACAAATGTGTGTGCGGGAATCGAATTAGCGATCTCTCGGCATAGTAACGCGTTATGAACCACTACACCAAACGGCCGATTTTAACTAAGTAACTTACTAACATTGGGAATATAATGTTTAAACAAAAATATCTTCAAAGGTTTGAATATTTAAATCCGCTGGCTCATTGTAAACCAGACGAGAGAATAATTAGGATCGAAATGTCATGTCAGTAGTAAGTACTTTTCAGGAACTTGTAACTACGCCATTCTCACTGCGCCATATAAAGATATAATATATTTACCTGAAAGCGCAAGCTTTTTTTTTTGTAATGACCGCTGCGAATATTTCCGTTTATCTGCAGCTATTACGCATTACTTGTAAGAGAAAAAACTGTTTCATATGCACTCAGTATGGATTTATGTATTATGTAAAAGTGTCGCGCACGAGCCAAACTGCGTCATGGAATTTGATACCATATTTTAATGAGACATTGATAAACTTGACACGTATTTTATTTATTCAGGTCCTCTGCATTTGCCTGAGTTTAGCATCATCATCAGCTCACAGCTCGAGCGATGACTCGGTTCGGGACTTCATCGATCACGAGCTCCGTATCCCCAACCCTGACAAAGTGCTGAATTCAGTGCTCGGCCGGCTGCAGAGGAACCGGCAGCAGGAGCTGGAGCAACGCCAGCAGATATATGATGAAGACTGCGAAAAACAGGTATTGTGTATTAAATGACATATACTAAGATTAAAGCTCCCCAACACCACCTCCCAACCTGATCCTCATATATCCTGTATTCCACCCCGGTTTATTTTTTACCTAAACGTTTCCTACCTTTTCTCCCACACCGTTGTGGCTAAGGGGGCGTCCATAAATTACGTGAGGCTTTTAGGGGGGGGAGGGGGTCAACAAAAACCTCACTAAAACTCACGTGGGGGAGAGGGGGGGTCTCGGGAAATATCACGTATTTTTTCCACAAAAAATAGAGAAATAGAGTTTGCCAGAAAACTGGGTTAAATCTTAAGTAAATAAATAGGGACGTTTCCTGGGTAAAAAAGCAAGAGTTTTAATTAGTCCGTCATTNTAAATTTTGGATTTTTTTAATATCACGTGAGATTTGGGGGTGGGGGAGGGGGTCAGGCAAAATCTCACCAAATCTCACCAAGGGGGGCGGGGGGGTTGAAAAATAGCCAAAATTGTCTCACGTAATTTATGGACGCCCCCTAAACGCAAACCGCGAAAGCCAAAAAAAAAAGCTCCCTAAATCATCTAACCAGCAATCGACTATGTATAGGCCAAATCCTCTCTTTCCTCCGCTAAATTTGAGAGGATCGATTACATAGCTACCTAAATAAACTCCGACAAACGTTACTTCAACATTACGACTCCGACACTACTGCATATCGACATGACTTTACTTCGACGCTACATACACTACTCAGACAAAGGCGTTTATCCTTTGTCGGAGTAACGCAATACCGAAGTAACGTTTGTCGGAGTTTATTTAGGTAGCCCGATTACAAGGGAAGCAGAAATTATCAATGGAGAATCAGCCATAATATCGTATGTTGGCATATGAAGTAGGTATTTCTTTGTCTAACCGAAATTCACGCGGAAAAAGCCACAGAATAAAGCTAGTGGCAAAAAATATTTGCAAAAAATCGTCATTTTCTGGTACTTGTATGTTAATGCGATAACTTGAAATTATTATCTTTAAATTAATAAATATTAATGTAGGTAAATGCGACAGACAAGAATAATAATCTTTTTTTTTATGATTTTCGAAGTACCGTGTGATACGTTTACATTATATTTACTGATTTTTTGTTACGGGGCTTTCATATTTGTTAGCCATTTCTTAATACTTGTAGCCTGTGCTTATTATATACTTTTTGAAAAGTACCTACTCAGGGTAATAAGTATGCGGCAATAGGTACTAGGGCACTATTTAAGTTGTGAGCCTCGACAACATAACGTGTTGTTAGACGACATCTGATACTTTTAATGAAAAGTTTGACATTTTTGACTATAACCTTATTCAAAACTTTTTATCATTTGAGCACGTTTTGTATTATTAACATTGAATTGAAAATTATCTTGACTACAAAAACATGGAATTGACTTGCGGAAATTTTCGCGCGAAGATTTATTATGACTTTCGACGTGGTTAATCAATACAAAACTGAAGCGGTCAGCTAAATTTCACTTTTGGTGATAAAGATCTATCNCATAGTCGAATCGCCATTCGTGACGAAAATGTGAGCTTTTACACGTCTCGTCAAATAACTGACTATTTGAACACTCAAAATATGAAATAAACAGGTCCAACGCTACAAAATTCTTGCTTGGAATCTAAACACTTCTTATGGTACCCGTATATTAAAATTAAATGCGTGAACAGCGATTTATGTAGCCAGAAGCAACTGTCGGTGCGGTCAAAAACCATGCTTTGGAGGTGCCTCAAGCTGAGTGGAAAAAATGCTATGAAAAGTATTTCGAACACATTAAAAAGTACATAAATCATGAAAGACAATACCAATAAACGCAATCAATACAATTTTAATAATAAACTACTTTGTTTTCATAGTTAGGCTCACAACTTAAATAGTGTCCCACGTACTATACCTACGAGTAACTATTGAATTTTACAGATTCTCCCAGAGTACACCGAGTCTCTACAAGAGCCAAAAGAAAGAGGCCTAAGGCAATTAAATGTTCAGGTTAGTTACAATTTAATTCAATTAATCTTTCTTATATACTGTACTTTATTACGGCAAGTATTAAAGCATTTAATTTATTGTTAACTGTTGGTGAAATCTAACACTATAATATACAGGGTGTCCCAAAATTTGCACGTTACACTGACACCAGAGGTAAATAAGCTTAAGACGCATCTAACAAGACTTAAGTAAGTGTATGAATTCCATTTTTAAAAATAACTAATATAAGTCATAATATATCAAAACTCATCAAACTTTTCTATGGACATGAATAAATAAAATTGGTCTTAATAATATCTTAAAACTTATGAAACTTTTCTAAGGACATATTAAGCGTGTTCGATGCGTCTTAAACTCAGCTATCTCCAGTGTTATTGTGACGTGCTATTTTTTGGACACCCTGTATATGTATTTATGACTTGAACATGGAACCTAGTTTTATTTATTTAGTTTTCTGATGAAAACTTATTTGTCGCAGAAACACTACCCTATATGCCATTTGGAGAGGAAGATTAGGAAGCTGAACACTAACGAGTACGAGTACAGGCCTGCGTACTATGAGGAGGTGCGGTGTAGCTCGCCCACCAACGAGGATATGAGTGTTACTAACGAGGCAAGTATTAGTATGAGAGGGGACCGTAAGATACCCTACGTCACTTGATACTAAAATAAGCCCCTTGGCACAAGTTCAGAAAATTTGTGATAAGCTTGAAACAATTAATTAATAAACTCTGTTTTGGCCGAAAGTACGTAAAAATGGCAAAATTATGGTTGACATAATTAATGGGCATGTTTGGCCATATAAAGGTTGGCAGACTAATTTATACTTAAATATCAAGTTGATATCTATCAACTGGCACTATGTTCATCTTTGTATCAGAGTCCGAATAGCTGTCTTTGAGACCTTCGACTTTGACCTGTCGATTTGTTTTATTTTCAGGGAAAATGGTGGCAACAAAAGTTGCGTTAATTTTGGGTCACCTTTTCAAATCAAATGACGTCAAATGACCCGCTTTTTTCCACCGGAAATAGCCATTTTATTTGTAGTTTCGGCCAAATCAGAGTTTATTAATTAATTTAGTGTTCTAAGCTTATAACACAACTTTTGTGTACCTACCACGGATCTTATTTTAGTGTCAAGTGACATAGAGCTGATGGCCGCTGGAGCAGGACAGTTCTTGAGTGGCGACCACGAACCGGAAGACGCGGCGTGGGCAAGCCTCACACTAGGTGGACCGACGATCTGGTGAAGGTCGCGGGAGGTGCCTGGATGCGAGCGGCGCAGGACCGGTCTTTGTGGAAATCCTTGGGGGAGGCCTTTGTCCAGCAGTGGACGTCTTTCGGCTGAAAGGAACGAATCAGCATCACCTTAATAACCTGAAAGAATACAACTGTTGTCCATACGTACCTAAAATATTTTATTAATTATTCTCTAACTCCTTAGCGTTAAGGGCTTCTGCTTTCGAGCACCATCTCATCACCATGCGATCACGACTACTTGATGCAAACACTTAAATAACTTTAGAAACTATACGTAGGTACTATATTGTTCAAAGACTTTTTCTTCAACTCCTAAGCGTTTAGGAGTTGTATACCTTCCATCAAGCCCCAGATTTGAAGTATTTTCATCGATAAAATTGTCCATAGATTTAAGCCTTTGAAGTTTGATCACTATTTAGTGTGTTGTACTAGTTGTAGGTAGATGTTAAGTAAAACTCGAATGCCGTAATAAGACTGACTTTTATTTCCAAAACCAGGGTTCTTATAATCATACCAAATGTATTTCAAATAGTGGGTCGTCAAATGACACGCTGTACCTATAGATTTATTTAAAGTTTTATTTTCAATTCGTCTTTATTTGACTGTACTTTTGAAGAGGTGCGAGTTGACGACAAAAATAATAGGTAAAATCGGAATTTCCCAACTCGCACCAGCTAGCGAGTTTGACAAGTGCGAGTTGACGAATAAGTCAAACTACGACTTTTGATCCATCGTAAAAGTGGTAAAAGTATGTCAGGCATGGAAAGTATAAAATCTTCCAACACCAACTACAAAATTATAAATCATGGTATACACTTAGTCCTAATCAATAATAAATACGTATACGATATTTTTTTATCAAATAGTAAATTATCAAAGAATTTTTACTATTTTGAGAATATTTTATAGTCTATGTTCAGTAGAAAACATTTAGAATTCTAATGGTGAAGCCGAACAATTCATATTTTAACAAACACTAAGGCTGGGTTGCACCATCTTACTTTAACTTTGACAAATGTCAAAAATCTGTCAAACTCCATACAAAAACCACCGGTTATCGTTAAAGTTACGGTCAAAGCTTAGTAAGGTGGTGCAACTCACCCTAAGAAAAACTAATATTTTTCAGATATGTTCCAGCCTTGGTTTTTCTTGTGTTCAGTGGAACAAGACCATACATCTGACTAGGAGGCGTTATTCTAGGTAATAATACAAATAGGTACTTTTAATTATATATTTATTTATTACATATATGTATATTTAACGTAATATATTTGTATAGTCAGCACTTTTTAAATAGATATCTAAGATACAAGCAATAAATTTTGCTTATTTCAGGTATCAATTACTTTCGCACACTAACCTTATTTTTATTGAAACCAAACTTGTATGTGTTTAGCCTTAGTTTTTATACAGTAATTTTATTCTTATTTTATACATAACCGTTATATCTTTGATTAAATAGTGTCTTAATCCTCTTGAGGTTTGTCCAGATACATTTTTTTATACAAATAGAATAAATGCGAATGTTACAAAATATAGTAATATTATTGTAAGTTTCATGGAACAGACACGAAACATGTTAAGTCATTTTCATGTTAATGAGTAGGTACCCACGGAAAACATAGGTACTTATTTGTAAGTTGAAAGAGAAACTGAATATTTTCTTTGTAAATATTGAAATATTCATTTGCAGTAGTGTCCGACCGAAACTAGTTTTACGACCGAAACCGAAACCGAAAACGAATTTCGGCAACGGTGTCTATTTCGGCCGAAACCGAAACCGAAACCGAAACTTCCTTACAAGGCTCATATTTTGAGGGAAAAATAAAGAAAACGTTATTATTTTTTGAATTTTTTTACATTTTCTTCCCTAAACTTTGAATTTTTGACGAATTTCAACATCTAACTACTACGTGTGATATATCATTGGAAAGAAGTGAAGCTAGAGATGTTTTCAAGATCATTGGCAATCCGATATCACCATTCATTTTTTTTTTAATCAAATTCTAAGTTGAATTTTTTTTCGTGATTTGTACTTTTGTTAAACTTTGGCGGCTCGTAACTAGCTATCCAATCTCTATCTGGATCTGAAATTTATTTTATCTAACTAAAGACATATTCAATATTAATATCAAATAAAAAAAATGGTTGAAAACACGTGACAAAAAAAATTAAGCAGTTTTCAGGTCAAATTTCGGAAAAAAGAAATTAAAACAAAAATATCGATTAAAAAAAAAGTAGCTCACTTAGGGGCAAATGGGCGAACTTGTATTCTTAAAATGACCTTACCTATACCACAGAATAATAATAAGTACTACGTACAGAAGTTTTACTTCGCGAGGGTATTTAAAAAAATGTATGCTCAATGTCATTAACAATATGGTGTAATTTAGCTTGTCTCAAGAGTCAAGCACCATTTTGTTGACAAACGTCAGTGATCGGTACTGCGCCGAAGCTATAGGGCTGACTTCGGTAAAATGATGTGACGAGAGGTGCCAAACTGCAGAAAATGGCGTAGGAAATACATGATTTAGCATGAATTATCATGAATAACATTAACTACTTATTTACCTCTCAGTGACTTCAGGCAACTTAAAAAGGACCTTCTGTGTTTTTATTATTATTTAGGCAGTTAAATACTGCACAGTATTTAGTACACCATTTTCTTTATTTTTTCCATCATACACAAGAATACGCGTGCGTGAGTCAATGTTCGCTCGTATGTGAGGCCTTGTCGAATAGTTATCATGTAGGGGGCCATCGTGCGTTTTTGTTTTCGATGTAAACTCGCGGAGATGAACAGGCCTGCCTATACACCCACGAAGTTTGTCTAACCTTCCGCCAAACACCCTGTACTATAAATTAAGTATAAACTATGATCGTAATGCATATTCGGTTTCGGTCGTAGTTTCGGCAAGTTTGCCGCCGAAAACGAAACTAAACCGAAACTCGTGTTTTTACCGAAACTCAACCGAAAACGAAACCGAAACCGAACATTCGGTCGGACACTAATTTGCAGCATACATTTTATTTCAGTCTAGCTTTATACCTATATTTAACAGCATAACTAATTTACAATAATTTTTCATATTTATAAAATATATTAAAAGCGTTGAATCGTGAGAGTCGGTACGCTCATTTAATAAAAAACAAATCGGACATTTGCGTATTTTCTTCAATCAAGTTTGACTTCTGGTGCACTTACTCGTATTTTATAAGGTGTCAAGAAAATCCATAAGTTACCTACCAAAAATACCCTTGTGTTACATGTTTGAAACCTTAGCTCAAAGGTTTACATAAGAGATTAGATTGTTTCAACTAAAAAATAATCCGCACACCATTAAGTCTAGGTACGTGTACAATTATGTTTTTTACATTTTCTTTTTCCTCAAAAAGCTGAATTTGAAGGCCAAGTGCGTAACACTACCTTGTTTTTTGTGCAAAACAAAAATGTGGTTTGAGTCTTTTAACCGATACAACACCCATAATGTCGTGAGAGGAGAAACGTACGAACATCAGGCCTCCAAAACCCATCTGGCCAGAGTGGGAAACTCCGGCCTTACTAGCCTCTTAGTAAATTAGAGAGGGTCATCATCCTGTGGTGAAGACTAAATGACTTAGGTATTGATGATGATGTGGGTTTAACTTTAATAATTGATATTGAACGGGAAGGCGGTATACATAAGCATCTTATCTTATCTTATTTAGGGCCGCGCTTGGGCGCAGTGCACGTCGACCCATTGGGATCTTTTGTGCTTCCCTATACCTTACCTAAGCATACGTGGAATGCATTCGTTCTTTCGTTTCAGCCAATTGACGTTCACTGCTGGGCAAAGGCCTCCCCCCTAAGGGCTATATTTCACCGGGACACCATGGCGGCGCAACCAGTCGCCGCTACCAACAAAATGTAGGTATACAGCTCTATAGAGAGTTACTCACCTGGTGTCCGTTTGGTTGCGCAAAGCTGTATACATTTTGTTGGTAGCGGCGACTGGTTGCGCCGCTATGGTGTCCCGGTGAAATATAGCCCTAAGGATTTCCATAACGACCGGTTCTGCATGTACGGAATGTATTCTAACTTAATGTAATTACAATTTCAGTGACTGCTGGGAGACCAGGACCATGGTGATACCAGCGGGCTGCGAGTGCATGTGGCCAGTCCACAGGCTTGGGGACATGACCCTGCACGTATGAGATCACGCTACGCCAACAAATCCCGACCCACGCAGTTTTTGTTAATACAATTATACTTAATTATTTGTTAATTCATTAAATTATTCAGATTTACCATCGAAGTTCCTTTATTTTACAGATCCTCTCCTCCCCATTTAGGTATATTCACACAATAAAAAAAAAGCTTCCGCTCTAGATACATAAGTTTTAGGTACATTTTATATAATTATGTAGATTACAGTACATCTTTTACGATTGGAAGAAGAATCGACTAATTTCATAGCAACAAGTATTTTGTAAAATTACCTACATAACTTGTTAGAATTTTCAAATACGTAATTAATTACCTGTCAACACATACTTCGAAAATTCGAAAATAATGAAAGGAAAGGAAAATACCTACCTACCTAATAATATTTTTTTTTGCTACTGTTAATAGCAGTTGTAGATACATGGCTAATTAGCAGTCAATTATACACTATCAAGGAATTAGGTACAATCGTCCAAATTATATTGTTCTTTACTATACTTGCCTGTAGAGTATTTATTGGTTAATAATTATGTTTGTATTTATTAATTAATTAATGTTTGTAGGACGTAAGTAGGTAAAGATTGAGTGACTACAACTAAAAATACAATATTTATTAATAAATTCCGAAACAAGTAGGTACACACAAAAAGAACATAGAGACGAATTGAGATCCTTCTTTTTTTATGTCGGTTAATAAGCAACTGCCAGGTCTGATTTGTGAGCTCAATACGGCACAATTACCGCCTGACCCTACGCCTTGATCCCAGCCTCACATACCTAATTCATCATTTATTCATTAGCTTTATTAACTCTAGTCACACATGTATGAAGATGTCACATGCCTAGGTAAAACGCCCAAAATAATCCTACATTGTCCTAAATCAATATTCTATCCTACTATTCTGTTCTACTTAAATACTTATTATTATAAATGTGAAACACAGATATCAAAAACTAAAAGATGTGAAAGTTTTCCAAACTGTCAACGCTAAACTGAATTTCAGGCGGGTTAATGCCGCGGGTAAAATACTTTCTGTATGAAAGCCCAAAAAGAAAAGTTAGTTCAGAATATTAAAAGTTGGTATCGAATCACCATCGCCTCGCCATTGCCTTTTAGTGACCCCTCGGCTCTAATTAGAGAGCATCATTTTCAGAATACTGCCACAGTTTTTTTGCTACATATAAAAATTTGCTAATTAACGGGTATTTGTATTAATATGAAAATATTAAAGTCATAGCACTATCATAATCAGTAGCTAGCTAGCGCCTATAAACAATGCTGTGCAACTTCCTCTGAAGCAAAAACCTCGCTTAGCTCTACGATCAGGCGCAATGATAGCACTCAAGGACGCATCTTCACTCACATAATATTTCGGTTCGTTTCGGAAGACTGACACGCTCACATGATCCCTTTAAAAATCGGGATCTCCCTGACACAAATCTCTATTTCATCTAAATCGGTTCAGGCATTTAAGCATGAAAAGGTAACAGACAACAATCTAAGTCACAATGCTAAGAAGCTAGTTGTGTTTTCATATTATTATTGTGTAAGTCGCAACAAAGTTATGGGTCAATTTCCCAAACACATTTTTTGAGCGGCGCAGCTGAAAATCATATGTTTTTTATGACATAGAACTTTGATTTTTTTTTACACGAAAATATGCAGAGGTTCCATTTTGAGGACAACATTATTAATGAGTATTTTCTTTTACAAATTCGACAAAAAATAATTGAACTAAGCGTTTCTAATTTTGGTGCAGTGTCCACATCCTTAATTTCTTACAATATGTATTTTTTTAGCTGAAGATCAAAACAGAACTTAGGGAAAAAGTATATTTTTGGATTATACAATCTATCTATTATCTAAGATTACCAAATTAAGCAAGTTTCCCAAATAACTGTGATTAAGTCACGTCCTTAAGTTTTGTCCGCGAAAAATTTATGATTTTGGTGTCAATAATGAAATAGCTCGTCAGTTTCTTTAAAGATCAAACAGGATTTAAACACTCCCATCATTCGTTAGGTTTAGTACCGCCCCCGCGAGCAGTGACGGCAGACGGGTGCAAGACCTCTGCGTCTTCCCGCCAAAAACGTAAATGTGTTGGTTTTTTTTAAACGGACAACAATTCTGCAATTCTGGTGTCTTTTTGTATAAGATTTCTAAGCTATTCTTTTTAGTTGAATTCCTCGTATAATGTAAAGGAACTGTTTTCATACCNTTATGCTAATATTCTACTGTATTATGTATGTAAAATTAATTTATAATCTTACATAATTACCTATGTTCGTTATTAATAGAAATTATGAAATCCAAATTACCTACATTTATTATACTTACAAATGTTGGTAACTACCCGGACTAAAATAGGTTTGTATTAGTCCGGTCTTAGCACAAAAAACAGGGGTAGGGTTGCAATAATTCGCATACAGCTGAAAATTGGTACGAATGTCCGGAGCACCATTAGAATGAAATGTATTGTGAAAACTAAGTAGTCCCCATGGATCCGACACGTGCTAAAAAAATTCAAGGCCAAAGTTCAAAAATAAGAGATTTGTGATTTTAGGTCAAACGATATGTTTTGTCATAAAAATATGTATGTGAGACAGCGTTTTAGACCGTGCAATTATCTATTAAAATTGTCTTTACACTTTCTCCAAGAGTCATCGGTTCTGAGGTACAATATGAAAGAATTAGTAGACTAGCTTTTGCCCGCGGCTCCACCCGCGTGAACTTTAGTATGTCACTGTAAAGTTTCATAGAAATCCGTTCTGTAATTTTTGCGTGTAAGAGGAACAAACATCTAGACATCCATACAAACTTTCGCATTTATAATATTAGTAGGATCATACAGTTATCTAAATTGTCCTTATCATTTTTCCTAATAGTCACCGTTTATTATGTATAACGATTCGCTCTTGTATAAATAAGTAAGATTTAAAGGGATATTCTAAACGGGAGATATTTTCCTGAAATTATGTAGCTGCAACACAGTGGCTGGAAACATTGCAAGCCAGGCTTAGACAAAGAACATTACTGACAGTTTTAATTTAGAAATCGCTTCTTGTAGCGAACTAAATTATAAACAAAGAAACCGAAAAGTTATTTAGGAATCACAACTACCACGTACCTACTAGTATTACTTAATACAACTTTATTTAGGCAAATATTCACAGAGTTTATTTTTCCCTAAGTCATAACATAATAGCTTTGTTATACCTAGATTCGAATTCATAATAGATCAAAATTTCTGAAATAAGCTTTTTGGTGGACTTAAAAGAATAAAAGGTATTTTTCTGCAATTACTAAAACGTAACACAAACCTTTTTTGTTTTGCTTGTATTTTAGTCACCAGTTATGTCCTGACTTATAGCAATTCTTTAGCTTAGTAGTTCTGACTTTAGCTTAGTAGTTAAGGACTGAAAATTGAAATTCAAACAGTGTGGCGAACTTAATTTTGGAAAAATATTGAATACTTGTAGTACGTAAAAAACCTTTTACAGGTTCTTAACAAAGTCTCGTTTCCGCTCGTACTTAGTCAATTACTAATTGAACTTCGAACAGGGTGGCCACCCACTGAAAAGTATTGTTTACAAAAACTCGCGGCACTGCTGTAAAAGCCAGCTGAAAACAACTTTTGCAGGTTCTCACAAAGCCTCGTTTCCGACCGTTCTAAGTGAACGCCTGAAAGTTGAACTTCGAACAGCGCGTAGCGAACTTTGGCTCAGCTACCGAGATGACATGCCACCCGCGGACCGGCGTAGGCGCAGTCCGCTGCGGAAGACACGCGCGACAGGTCGGTTCTAGTTGGTGCCTCTAACGCTTCTCACTCGTCCAAGTAAGTTCGATTTGCTTTGTTTATTAATTAATTATCTAACTTATAAATATTATCTTTATTACTTAGATCAACGAAATCAATACCTACTGGTAGTAAAATATTTAGAAGATAAAGTTTAAAGATTCTTTATTTCTTTTATTAGAAGAAGAAAAATAAACAGTGTGTTATTTACATTTGCGTTCGCATTACATTTTATTTACGTTCGCACCGATGTGCTTTAAAAACGCATCGGTTTGTAGTAATTAAGTAGGCTCGTACTTCTGATTGGCAATAAAAATAGATATGGAGCTTCAAATAAAGTGAGCCTTACTTTATTAAATTATTTGAATAATACCACAACGTCTTGGAAGTGTAGGGCAAGTTTCACGAAATAAAAGTCTAAGTACGATGATGAAGACCTACTCGTACCAATAAAAAATATTTACACGCTCGTTGAACAGTGTTCACATTTTCATACCAAACGTTCAAATCATTTATTTACATACAGACACGGTACATTAGATGGTAAAAAATAAAATTAATTATATCCACGTGTCTCCCCATGGTATGGCATGTAAAATTAATAAGTAGGTAATTTTATAATATTATTATAAGATTTATGAAATTAAATAACTCAATTTTATCATAGTCATATTATTATTGTAAAACACTGTTTAACAAGTGTGTAACTTTTTGTTGGTAAGGGTGTAAGAAAATACGTAAAGCAAACAAACACAAATTTTAAAATAATTATTTCTAATCGAAAGTAAATATATATAATACTAGCTTTCCGCCCGCGGCTTCGCCCGCGTGGAATTTTGTCTGTCACAGAAAAACTTTATCGCGCGCGTCTCTGTTTCAAAAACCGGGATAAAAACTATCCTATGTTCTTTCCCGGGACTCAAACTATCTCTATGCCAAATTTCATCAAAATCGGTTGCGAGGTTTAAGCGGGAAAGCGTAACAGACAGACAGACAGACAGACAGACAGACAGACAGACAGACAGACAGACAGACAGACAGACAGACAGACAGAGTTACTTTCGCATTTATAATATTAGTTGGGATGTGTATATAAGTATCAAAAGTTTCAATTTTTACTAAGTTATTTTTACTTATAATAAGCTATTTTTTGTTGAATGATAATTTTTATCAGTTTTTAACATCACTTATTGTATAAGAATAGATAGATGTATCTCTACTTCTACTTATTGAATTGTTTGTATTTCAGTAATGGTTAGAAGTAGCTAAATGTAAGTTTACCTCAAA